TACAGGCCTCTCTCATCTTTTTAAGTGGGAGAACTTGCACAATTGGTGGCTGACTAAATATGTTTTTGCCCCACTGTAGTTAATTTATTTCAGTGATAATTTAAATTTTTTTTTTTACTTTTTTTTTTTTTTATAAGGATACACAAACAGAATGGAATAAAGAAATGGTGATTTACTCTGGAAAATGCAAATCCTATCATTTAATGATTTTTTTTTAAGACCACATAATTATGTGACTGTTGGTAGTTTGTAAAATCATCCACAATACAACAGTAATTAATACAGTAATAATATTTAAAATGATATTAAACTGGAGTATGTAAACAATTCCTAAAGCACAATCTTAATTAAAAAGTGCCTCTGGAACAGCTCAGCTTTAACCTACTTCCAGAAAACCAACAGGATCAGAGCATACCAACATCCATTGGTAAACTGCTCAAAATATGGGTGCCATAATAGAAAATAATCTCCTCTTTGCCTTTGCCCTTTTAATCTCCTGATAGTGGGGCACTCTAACAATTGTTATGTTCATAGGAAAAGCAGCCCTGATAGCAAATACTGTCCGTTACAGTGTCTGGGACCCGTGCATATAAATGAAAGCACATACTCTCATACTATTTAGCCCACTATCACATTTTCAGCCAGGCTTTTTTAAAACCTCCAATTTTTTAGAGTACACCGTGTACTTAAGTAACATGCCTGCTGTATTTCCAATTCTGTCTTTTTATGAAAATTGGTACAATTATACTTGGGGGTGAAATAAAAATTCTCTGAATCAAGATCACTATTGTCAAAATAGAAAACATCACCCTCATAGCATTTCCTTGCTGTCCTATTTTATTAAGCATTAGCTGGGTTCAATCTGATTTGGAACCTCAGGAGCCTCATTGCTCTCCAGATGAAAAATGTTCTTATGTACATCATCTATGTAATGTTTCACCAAACTCAAAAATGTCTGCTTGTTTCTTTGAGTTTGACACAAACAATAAGATCTTTAATTCTGTGTCATGGGTTCTTTTTTTAAACTGTACCCAATTAGATTGACACAGACTCAGAAAAGCCACAAAAGCACTGGACTCTAGACAGTTTTGTTTTTAATATATCTCCCAATGAGGAATGGGGAGAAGTTTTATTTTGAAAAGAACCAAGATATAAAAGTGAAATGTGAAACTTATGTATGGCACCTTTTATTTCCCAAGTTTCAGTAAAGCCAAATAAGAA